CACAAATCGGATCCGCATTCAAGTGCCCACAGCGTTAGAATACTTACATGTGTGAACTAGAGAGATCCCACACTTGTAAGAAGTTTGGCCAGATCTGAAGAGACTATTCGAGCCCTTTTCAGCGGCGATGAAGAGCCAGAAAATAGTTCCGACGCATACCTTTATCATCCCTGAATAACATTTGAAAATATATTTGCCGTTGGGCCATTGAAGCAGCATAGTTAGGAACTACAAATCCAAGATTGTACATCCCGCACTTTGCCATCAGAAAGATGTGGTTGTTCTGCATGTGGATAGATACACAATAGCATGTAGATCGGATGGAAACCATCGATTCTAAAAGTGCGGGGGATTTAACTTTCTGAAGATCAGTTGATCTCAAAAATTATGTGCTTGTTGAAGAACAGAGAGGAAGTCTACTTGTCTTTGTTGTTTCAGATATATATAAAAAGACGTACATCGCCGAGAGCAGAGTCTAGAACTTTGAACATACTATACTCGTCCGGCCAGACGTTATGCATTCCGAGACTAATGCACATACCACAAAATGGGAATCTACAAGAGGACGAATCCGCTTTTCTTAGTGGCGGAGTTGCGTTACGCACCTTCTGGCAGCACGCAGCACGAATACTATATTGAATACCGATAGCTCGGTTTTCATCAGTGTAACGACCCACGCTGCCATCCACACATGCATGCATACATGGAATGGAATGCTGATGGAATGAATCCACTGTGTGAAAGGAATCTAGAATTTACAACACATTATTCCTGTTTGCCGCGGGAAATGGGGAAATGTACGAGTACGAGCCCAATAGCAGATCCCATCAAGTGTCCAATATATTATATTGTAGTCATAGGGAGTACACCGAGGATCCCCATAGCGACTCCAGACTCTAAGACCAAACTCTAAGACCAAACTCTAAGACCAAACTCTATTGGGAATCTCGGTAGTCATTGGTGGATATACGTGAAAATCAACCAGGCTCCGGAAAGTAAGAACGAAAGTGGTAAAATGTCGACAGAAATAAGAATTCTTCCAAACTTCCCAAACGAGAAGAAATGTGGGAACTCATTAGCTGTAAGCGCTGGAGCGGCTCGAGAGCGGTTGCGGGAATATAATCATATAATCATACTCGGTATAGTTAATCATAAATCATAAATACCTCTATTGCCGTCTGTACCAATAGGATGTCACCCCCTTTTTCCAAGCTCGTAGGATTTTACCGGCTTGGTGCCGTCTTGGATACGTACCTCGTGCACATCTACTAGGTACATAGCATAGCAAGTAAGTAACCCAGTCAAGTCACTACCAGTACCAGTATGTACCTCCTTCCACTCTTGCTTCTTCTACCGAGCATTCAATTAAGGTTCACAACGTCGAACCATTTTCCTTGCAAGTAGACGGGTTTGATGTTGTTGTCCTTATCCTTAATGAAAGTCTCGATTCGCTTCCATCACTGCCTGACCTTCAACCCCAGCTGGATAGATAGACAGAATAATCATCACCATCAATCAAACCTGCAATGCCCCCAACGGTCCAAGGTAAGCTTACGAATACACGGGCAAGCCCTCCACCGGCGATCTTCACAGGTCTGTATCCATTATTTGAAAGGAACATGCTTGTGCAGAATAATACGGAGAGGAGGATTCCAGGTTTTAGTAGCCCCGCAGAATTTGCCAGCATTGCTAGGATCAATATGTTGTCGAAGTGCCTTCTTGCTTCAACCGTTAGACGCCCTTAGTTTAACTGACATTCTTCCCTTTTGATCTCGTTCCTTTCCTTCTCCCACAACTCTCCTCAGTTTGCTGCAATTTCGTTGGTGCGTCAAAAGGCCACGAAAATCTTGCGCATGTAGCTCTCACCATGTTGGTGTCTTACACAACTTTGCTGTTCAGAGAGGATGACCACCACCAACAAAAATATACAACCAGACGTGCGCTTCCCTAGAAGCGACGATAAGAACAATGCTACTATTCGAAGTAGTGAAATTTTACCCGATCGTCGAATGATTGCGATAGATAAATCTAAGACTCCAGCGCTACAGAAGAAGGAAATCAAGTTTCGTGCCAGATTACCCAAGGTTAAGACAGGATGTCAAAATTGCAAGTAGGTGCTAGCCTTATTATTACCATCACCGTTGTATCATAACTAATGAATATAAAGGATCCGAAGAATCAAGTGCGACGAAAAATTGCCCGGCTGCTCTCGCTGTTTTAAATTCGGAATTTTATGTAGTGGGTATCCGAAACAGCCGGAGAAGATCAAACCGAATTCCCGTCAAATTGTGCCCATTTTACCCAAAGGGTCAATTTCTGATATTGCACAAGGATCCATAATCGAGTTATACTTTGGACCTCGATTTGGGGAAGAGCTAGAGGGTAGGTATTTTAAACACTTTTGTGAGAATGTTGCGGCAGGGTTAGCAGGCCCACTTCAAACGAGTGTTTGGTCCGAGATCATTCCTCAGGTGTGTGAAATCGAGCCATATATCGCACATGGCTTAGTGGCACTTGGTGCATTCAGCAAGTATAGCAAGGAGATGGTCCAAGGGGGTGAATCATCAGATAGCAAAAAGCACTTTGAATACGCCTTGCGAGAGTATGGAAAAAGTCTACGAGGTATGCAGAACGCAATTGATGGAAACGTGAGCCGGAGTCCAAGAACAGCTTTGATTGCGTGTATGATAGTTTTTTGTATCGAGAGTATACAAGGACATCAAGCATCCGCTTCCATACACGCAACCAATGGTATCATGATGCTTTACGATTACTATCAATCATCAGCAGCCGGCACCGAATTCAAAAAAGAGAACGTCATAGGACCTGAACTTCGAAGAGCTTTCACGGATTTAGACTTACAAGTTTTGCACTTCCTTGATATTCGCCCACCAGCTCACCACGTTATCATCAAGGAACAACTCAACCGATACCATCTTCAGGGAGCCCAAGTCCCAACTTTTCAGAACATCAAGGATTCTTACGAGTATTTACAGATGATCATGAGAAGGAACCTTCATTTCATCGATATAGCGAGGAAGTTACTCTTAGAGACTGACTTTCAAGAGCAATCCACAACCTTTTCACCCAAAGACTGGGAAGGAGCTGCAGATTTACGCCAAAATAATAATCCGTGGACTCAGCTAGAGCCACGCGCCTCTCATTCTCCACCTGCGGCATCACGCGATAATCATCCATGCGGTAAAATCTATGGGGAAGAAGAATCTGCAGCGACGTCTCAAGAATCTCCGAATCCGAGCAATTCCGGCGCCGAAGGTGGCTTCGCAGATCCCTGTATGGATTATGTAGCTGCGGCCCGTTTCCCACCCGAAATTTTACGAGAACGCGATATCTATCTGGCAGATCTGATGCATTGGGAAAAAGCGTCTGAATCTATTCTTCAAAAATGTCTCGCGTCTCCTCACCACTCGCCAGAATTTCGGACGGCGGCTCTCCTCAAAACCCACGCCGCTGCTAGTGCCATTCGTCTTCACGGCTCCTTCTTCATTGATGAAATTCAATACGATCAACTTACTCATTATTTCCAAACTATCATTACTTATTGTACATATCTCCATCCTTATTACAGCACCTCATCCTACCACACAAATCTGGGTATCTTAATGCCGCTCTTCGAAGTCGGTACGCATTGTCGAGCTAAGATATTGAGAGATCAAGCAATCGCAATGTCGTTTGTGAGTAAAGAATATAGAGAAGGGGTATGGGATAGTTACGTTGGCGGATTCATCTGTAAATGGATTCGAGATCTGGAGGAACCGTGGCGAGATGAAAAGGGACTTATTCCTGCGGATAGAAGAGCGAAGATCGCGGGGTTGAATGTGGTGGTTGAGAAGAGGAGGGCGCAGATGTTTTGTTCGCAGAGGATTGGGGTGGGGAGGGAAAGTGTCACGAAGGATATTATTGTTACTTGGTGATGATTTTGGGGGAGGGATAGGGGCGTGAAAGGAGGGGACGGGGATTTGGATAAAGATCTCGGGTCGAGGGTATATTGTCCTGGATTGGAATGAACGATCGTATGTAATGTAATGTATTCATTGTGGAATGACGGGGAGTTGGTATGTATATATAGTATAGCATAGCATAGTATGACATGACATGACATAGTACTGGATTCAAAAGAATCCCAAGTCGCGAAGTAGAAGTAGAAGAAGTAGTAGTAGAGTAAAATACAAAACTCACAGCATGATTTGAAGCATAGCAGTTCTTCTGAACATAGCAATAATAATAACTATTACACTCTTTCTTGATCAAGTCAAGCTGCTGATACGTAGTACATTTTTGAAGAATCATTATATTGTAAGTTTAGATAGTTAGATAGATAGTTGGGTAGATGGGTAAAAAAGAAAGGAGAGAAATATATTCACCATCCGGAAACATAACTTTTGGAACTTTGACAAGGAATTAGATTTTTAACTCTCTATTTCTCTTTTCGCTCTCTTTTTCCTACCCGGTTCTTTTCTTTTCGCTCTTTTCACTCTTGATAAGGAAGAGAGAGGGAAAGATGTATTAGAATAAACAGAATAAGATGAATAGTATACTACTAGGTAGAATAGATTGAATCTCCTCCCCTCCCCTTTCACGGTATCACCCCCTTCATTTAGCGACACTTGATATGATTTCGTATCTATATTTTTCGTTCGGTAGGTTCGTTACTCTGTACTCGATGAGGTTTGTTTCCTTTTTCTTTTTCTTTTGCTTTTGAGATTTTACTCGAGGTATTTGTCGCTGTGGGTTTTGGTTTCGATGAGGTTAGTTGATGAATTTTCCGGACGTGGTGAGAGAGAGGGGAATGGATTATCTCCGGTTTTACGCCTAGCGATATAAATGAGAACGTACAACTAGAAGACGAGAAATGGTTGGTTCGATAGTTAATATATTCACATGCACATGCATACATACAATTCTCAAAGATATGTATTTTACGATTTAGCACAAAACACGAATACAAATTGGGTATCATTCCATTGAACTCTAACAAATTACTCCATGCCCTTGAACTTCAAAATTCCATTTTCAACCTGACCTTTCTTTCCCCTCTTCTTCTTCTTGCGTTTCTTGCGGCCACCATCTTCCTCATCACTGCTATCTGCCTTGGCATCACTATCATCACTGTCTTTTTCCAATGCGCGTTTTCCACCATCACCCATGACATCGTCTTTATCCTCGATATCTTCTTGCTCTTCCTCTTCCTCTTCTTCTTCTTCCTCTTCTTCCTCGACCTTTTCTTGCCAAACTTTAACCGTATCTCCACCCCAGAAATCAGTCTTCCACCAACATCAAAACCCACCGCAACAACCGCCTCAATATCATCATGTTTCATATCCTCCACAACCCCCTTCCTCCCCCAACCCGCACAATCCTCACACTCCCATCTCCACATCCAACCACCACACATTTCCCACCATATCCGCCCTCCAGATCCTCCGGCATCGCAATCATAGCATCCAGACTTTCACCCCCGCCTTTCCACCCCCATCCACAATAATCCTCTCGCTCTGATCATCCCAAACTCCCTTTTCCCAGAGCGTAATAACTCCATTTCCATTCCCTACACAAACTTTTTCTCTCCCGTATTTCCCTCTCGCAGGTAACCCGCTCACAAACACACTACTCAGTAATTCCTCTTCTTGGTCCTCACTTTTGACAAGCACTCCTCTCCTGAGATCCGTAACCGCCAATGTAGTTCCTCCCGTCGTGATCCACTGTTTGCTAAACCCGCTCGTGCTCATTTCCGTAGGTGGAGAGGTGATAAACTAGATATGTAATCATCGTGTGGATAATGCGTCTGCGCCGGTTTACCAGATTTGAAAGAAGAATTGTCGCGGAGATCGTAGAGATGGAGAGCGCAGGAATCGGTGGCTAGGAGGAGAGTTTGAGGGGAGAGGGCATGGAGAAGGGTGGGAGGATCGAGTTTATCGGTGTTGGTGTTCGGGATGAGGATTTTGGAGATTACTTGGCCGGTGGAAGATGCGGCGCCTTTGAGGAGGGAATCGGTGCCGGCGGAGTAGAGAACTGGAGGTTGGGTGTTAGTATGTGTCAATTGAATAGTAGAATTTCAATTAGTATGCAGATGTCAAATAAGATTCCAATCAAACAAAGGCATAAGAAGAAAATGGAAAACAAACCTTCACCATCATGACTATACCCCAAAGTCCTACAACTTCCCTTGTGTCTCCTAGTTCTCCATTCCGTATCGATAGTACTAGTCCCCGTACTCACCACACTCGTATCTCCATCTTCATCCTCGGCAGCAGCTTCAGCAGCCGGCAATCGAAAACATTGTACATGACCTGACGAAAGACCAACTGAGAGAATAGGTTCGGTGGATGTAGAGCTTGGGTGAAGAGCTCGGAGCTGAGAGGTAATGTACAGAGGTTTTCAAACATGATGGTTAGATGTTGATATGATTTTTAGAAGACTATAACATTATCTCATTGGAATTGGATTGATTTCGGATTCAATTGGAAAAGTTGGAGGGAGAATAGATCAAAACTTTCTTTTTCATGAAAGAGAAATTTTGACGAGGCTGAGGACGGGAAGGCTAGACTTTTGCGACGGAACGGGACAGGGCTCACCGGGAACTAAGGCAGGCGGTCGGCACCTTGCAGCTATCTAATCTGTAGCTTCTTTACTCTACAATCAAACGTACCTACATTACGCAGCTCAAGAAATACATTTTCTAACAAAGTATTCCCATTCTCCATTATTGAATGGAACTTAACACATACTTTACCATACTATGAAACTCTCAAACCATCTACTCAACCTCCACCCATTTCACACCCACCAATTCCGGTTTCTTCATCTGTAACAACAAAACAATCTCACTATCCCATACACTCTTCTCGGCTCTTTTCCTTGCCTCTTCAAGACTTTCTCCCTTTTCAGGAACCACCTCAATCCGATCTTTTCTAAACAACGAAACCATCGTCGCCACAAACTCTACCTGCCCGAATTTTTTCCCCGGACACGCGCGTGCTCCTTCTGACCAAGGAACATACGTACCTTTCTGTGGCGAGAAGAGAAATTCTTCTTCTGGTGTTGATTTGGGATTAATCGATTTATTCGGAAGGTTTTCCTCTTGACTTTGAGTTTCGGAATCTAAATCCCGGCTGAGAACCCAACGATTAGGACGCCAGATAAGTGCATCAGGACCCCAATATTTCGGGTGCGAGTGCATTGCGTTGATATTAGGTATCAGGTGCGTATTTGATGGGATGACGATGGTTTTTCCATTGAGTGTAAGAGGTTGCGGTTCCGCACCTGTTAATTTAGCGATTCCTATCAGGGGGTTAAAGAGCCGAAGAGTTTCGAGCTGGAATATCTTTCAGTTTCTCTCTTCCTATCAATAGATGAATTAGGAAAGCAGTACTTACCAGAACAGCTAGACAACGATTCAATTTCGGATAATACTCTTGATATTTCGATTGAATATTATCATCCTTGATAACCACAGCAAGTATCACCTCGCGTAACCATTCCTGAACTTCTGGATTGGCAGCAAGGAGATACAAAGCCCAATTCGTCGTGATGGCCATGGTATCATGTCTAGCAAAATTATACACAAAGATATTGCCATACACTTCATTTTGTGTTCATCCTCTTCCACCCACGCTCTTATCTCCCGTCAACTCAATCATTTCATCAGACGCCATGATTAGCGAATCAATGAGATTCCGACTCCCAGATTTTCCTTGATGTATAATTTCCTTCTCCTCTCTTACCATCTTCTCCATATGATCTCTAAAATCCACGCAAGCTTGACCCAAACGACTAAACCTCTTCGGCAACCATTTATTGCCGAGGAATTTCGGTCCAAAAAGTAAGATCATCAAAGCATTCTCCAAAATCAAAGCCAACGAATCCCGATAATTAAACATCTGGCCCTCCTTAGGGGATTCCGCCGCCTTTGTAAATGAATACGGCTTTCCAAATCCAGCGCCTGATACACATGAAGAGATAGCGTTCTCGTATCTTTATGGGTACGACGAATGGGTGTTGGTAGCGATTTCCAGTATTCTAGTACTTCGGTTGCTTGGATTAGTGCTTGGATCCATAACGTGCTGCTATTTTGTTCGTTGAATTGTGCGCCGGTGACTTTGCGTTGGCGTTGCCAGTCTGCTCCTCTGGCCTGGGTGGATGTTAGCGGATTGTTCATGGATAATGATGGACGCTAAAATAGTAATAATACCAATACACGTACGGTAGAAATATTAGGTCCAAAAACATCCCACATCGCTACAACCCCAAACATCAAGTTAGCCAAAACTTCTCTCCCCATCGAAAATCCCAAAAGAAAAACCTACCGGCCTCGGAGACCCCTCTCTCTTCCGAAAAATCTCCACAAACGCCTCCTTCTCACAAACATAAACCCAATTGTACCCCGGCGTCACTAGCACAGCCGCATCTCCCTTCTCCCTGTGCACAAATACTTAACGTAGTATTCCCAGCCCAGTTTCCCATAGCGCGTGATGTTGCATTCTCCGTATAGGAGACGGATGAGCGGGAGGATGGAGCGCTGTGTGAGGACCCAGAGGGGATTGTCTGGGCTGGAGGGGAGGGTTATGAGGGGGAGATGGGTTTGCAGCGCGGTTTGGTAGTTTTGACAGAGGTCGTAGGTGGTGTAGAGGAGTCAGAATAGGGGGAGGAGAAGGAGAGTGAAGAGGGTGTGCATGGTTTTAGGCGTAGAAGGGGGGTAATTAGATTCAGAAGGATAGGATGAAATGGGTGTGTTGTGCTCTTATCGCAATTTTGTAGTGGAAGAGAAGAGGAAGAGGGAGAAGGGAAATTCGTAATGAACGCTGATTTTATTGCATATGAGAATCAACAGCATCATGTGTTGGTTGGTAAATGTGTTGGAAACGGCATCAGTAACTATTAGGTTCCGGACTTCATGACTTTACTGCATGAATATCGATGCAGAGCATGATTGATGGATGTACTTGATTGAGTATGTATGCCGTGAAAGCCTCGAAGCTGTTTGAGTCGAGATAAAGCTCCCTTACGCGACACTTGATTTTTGTTATAGACTTCAATTTTCAATCAGAGATAGAACAAATTTGTGACCTGACACCTTTTGATACCTCGATGATAACAAGAAAGCTGTACTATAGCCAAAAAAGTGTCCAACACGATCACGATCGTCAATGAAAGTACAAAGTAAACAAATCTATATTGCTAAAATCATCATCGTTCATTCATCTATACCCTGTGGTTTGATTACATCAAGCTAGTCTCTTGTGACTCCCAAAACAGCAACACTCCATCCTATTTGATCTTCCTCAAGCTAACAACAATGTTCACTTGATTCTCAAATCAACAGCTAGCCAACGATGAAAAGTATGGTCAAGTAGCAAAGTTCCTCAATCAATGCATACAGCTACAAACAAAATTGTATTCCCCAACCTAAACTCCCATTCATATTCGTAAATCATTCAAATTCGATCTCACAATCCACCATCAAATCTTTTGGCAAGTGGACTTCCCACCTTTGGTGCCCACTGCAAACTCTTCCTCCTAGCAGCCATCAACCTCATCATGACACTCTGATCCTTTTCCTTTCTCAAGAAACCCATGCCGTCTCCCGAGTTTCCATTTCCGCTGCTCTCACCCTCTTCAAAGTCCACAAACTTCTTATTTCCACCTGGAGCTGTCATCTGTACCAATTTATCCTTCTTGAAATAATAAGGTGTTTGGGCACCTGGTGTCTCAGCACCCCACAATCCTTCTTCCGCATATGCACTGATTGTTTCCGGGGCAGGTGTAGCGGGAACAGGGCTTAACATCCAATTGTCGTCACCTAATTCATCTACTTCACCCTCTTCGTTGGAGATAGGTGATTTTTGCCACTGTGTTGATTCTCTTCTCTTAGATTTGAGAGTTAGTGGTGTGGTATCCGGATAGGTCAAGGTTGAATATGTAGATTTTGCAGGTACAGTTGATGGAACGAGGGTGCCATTGAGATTAGCAAGTGCACGAGGTTCCATACTCTTACGACGACGTGCACCTCCTCGAGGAACCATGGCTGTATCAACTGCATAAGAAGCTTCATCGAGCCATTGGTTTTCACGTTCACAACTATTGATCTTGTTAGCGAACTGGTACAAAATAAGGTGTGCCTACCAAAAAAACTCTGAAAAAACTCACTCTAAAACCCAACCAACACCAACACAAGAGACTACTCCTCCAGTTTGTTTAGCTTTCTCGAGTGTCCTCTTTCCACCATCTTTGAAAACAATATGAGTGATTCCAATTTTGCTTTTGTCATCACTGTTTGGATTCCATGACCATGTCTTAACACATTTGGCGCCCATCTGTGTAAGCAATTCGGTGAATAAGCCACTAGCATCAGCGCCCTCAGTGGTATGTACATCAACAAAGACTACAACTCCCTTCAAAAGTGCTGTGTTGAGATCCGGACGTGGCGTACGGGCTGGTGTGGCGACTGTGGACCAAGTGACAGTCTCTGACTTAATAGGGGTAGCAAATTGTTGGCTATCTGCACTCTCCGTGGATTCTTCTTCTTGTTGAGATTTAGGTGTACTCTTGGATGGCGAGTATGAGATCACGGTATTGTTACGAGATAACGAGCTAGACGGGCGTACAGCTGGAAGTTTCGAACTACTAGCGCTTCTCTTCGCTTGTGATGGCCGCATTGGAGTTTCATGAGCACCTTTGAGTGGCACTTTTGCGACGGTATGGAATGTTCTCTCGGTCAAAACACGCTTGGGGGTCGTGAAAGCTGAAGCCGCTGGTGCAGTTGGTGATTGAGGCGCAGAAGCCAAAAGTGCGGGATCGATCAACATTTCATTTTCATCCCCATATTCTTGGCTAGCGTCGGAAGGACTAGGCTCTCGTTCAGGTATAGGCTCTTCAAGATTGCCCATGATCGTCGCTTCATGTTCTTCATCTTCGTCGCTTTCTTCGTGTTCCTCTGCAATTTCATGTTCTTCATCTTCGTCATTTTCTTCGTGCTCCTCTGAAATTTCATTTTCACCATCATTTTCTGCTTCGAATGCTTCGGGATCCAACATCGACAACTCATCAGCTTCTTCTGCGAGGTCGAGATCTTCCTCTAGGAGCTCAATATCCTCGAATTCTGGCTCACTGGTCTCAGCTTCAAGAGCTTCAAGTGGAATAGATTCGTTTTCGGCCATGTTGAGTTCGTCTCGAATCCTCATCTCATCCTCGAAGTAACTACTCTTAGCTGGAGAAGCAACAGCTGGAGAAGCTGCAGCCGTAGTCAGGTCGGCAAACACTTCATTCGCTGATACCTTTCGTGCGGGTGAGGCAGGGTCAGCAATTTCATCCTCGATTTCAGCAAATTTTTCAGGGCTTGCAGCCATCCAGTTACTGAGCTGTTTCGCTAAAGGAGTAAAACCAATCTTTTCCTGATTAAATCTTCCTGAAGATCGCATCGCTGATTTGATTGTAGTCATTTTGGGAGTCTTGTTGATGTTACCAAGTCGGACTGGTGTTGCAGGAGAAGAAGCGAAGTCGTTAGTAGAAACCTGAAATTTGGCAAGCGGGGCAAATGAATGTTTTTTAGCCGCAGGAGCAAGCTCATCTTCTGAATCTGAGTTGTCATCAATCGGCTCTTCGCGCAGCTCAAACGAACTGCCAGTATCCTTGCGAGGAGGCGAACATGGCGGTGTGGTGCTCTGAGCTTCGATAGTCTCGACTACTTCATTTGTATCTTCAGTGGCCATTGGGTCGGCATACTGCTCTTGGGCATCATCCACGACAAGTTCTACGGGCTCGTCTGTTTGAGGTGGAAGTTCAACCGCAGGTGATAAAGCTGGATCGGCAGAGCGCGGCATAATCGACGAGAGTCGTCCGGAGAATTCTAGAACAGGAGTTGGCAAAGAGTTTGTCTCCTTTGAGATTGGACTGCCATTGAAAACATTGTCCTTGAGGGCGCTTGAAGGGATTGGAGGAAACATCGGACCAGGACGAATTGCGCTCTTCATGAGAGTTCTCGGGGTTTCAAATTTTGAGATCTTAAAGGTGCTGGCTTTTGGAGTAGCATCAAATATTGAAGCACCTTGATTGATTCTGATTGGTGACCCAGCTTCATCGACTTTGGTGGGTGATTTTGGTCTGCGAGCTGGCGATTGGAGAAGAGATGCTTTGAAAGGAGATGCGGTCGTTGAAGGTTCTGGTGCAAACAAATTGGGTTTGAAAGGTGATCGCATGCTATGTCCAAATTCAAACCTTTGCGCATTTGATTTCAATGTCTCTTTGAAAGGTGATGATTGTGGTGGGCGTCGAGCAGGGCTTGCCATTGTTGATGCATTGAATATCTGGGTAGGTTCCATTAAAGGTTTATCAGCAAGTGATATAGGTATATTCATTTTCTTCTCTGCAGTTTGTGGGGGTCGACGAGCTGGACTCATCATACTAGATGCGTGGAAATCCAGTTCAGCTCCTTCAATAGGTTTTTGTGCTGCAAGGGAGTTCGAGAAATCAATCTTTTTCGCAGTATCAAAGATACTTCCTGGTGGTTTGACAGGACTCTTCATCAATGATTTCATTGGAGTCTTTACTGTTGTCGATAATTCATCGTCTGACGATTGTTCCTTTTTCGCATTAACTTGTGCCGCTTTCTTCGGGCTTAATGGTAATGGTTTCTCTACCTTCTCGTCCTGGCCAGGCTTGGCTCTAGCACGAGTTGCACGAGTTGAAGCTGTTGCAGATGATACAGGCTTTCGAACCGGTTTTGCTCGCAGACCTGAGGCTGTTTCTGCAGCCTTGGGCTTTGCTCGTGAGGATGGTACAATATTCTCCTTGTCTGGTTCCTCAAACTTGACCCTCTTCTTCGGTCCCATGGCGCGTGAAAGCGTAGCAGAAGGAGCACGTGTGCGAGTTGTTTTCTTTGCAGGTTCCTCGACCACGATTGATTCCGGTTCCGCTTGAGATGCATCTTTCCTTGGTCGACCCCTTGTAGGTTTGGGGGGTGGAGGTGCTGGCGCTTCGATTGTAGATTTCTTTGGTCGACCTCGAGTTACTTTTACAGGAGCCATGGTTTCCTCTACCTCCGTTTCCACTTGTACATTAGCTTTCCTCGGTCGTCCGCGAGTGGGTTTTGGTTCTGGTTTGGTCTCTTCTCCTAATTCGTCGTTTTGATCTTCATCCTCTTCATCTGCTCTAGTCTTTCTCTTCGCACTTGTTGTAACGGTGGTGGCCTTGGTTGCTTTCGATACGGCAGGTGCGACCTTGGAAGATTTGACTCCAGTATCTTTTGTTGACTTTGCGGCTGCCCTCGCGCGGGTAACACGTTTTGGTGGTGATGGATCCATGATTGTAAACTATTCGGCTTGTCGAGGTTAGTAAAAGTTTGGATTGAATCTCTAGATAGAGTTACATTTGACGCGATTTAAGATAAATGTAAGTCAGTCTTGAAATTTGGTAAGAGTGAATGGTGATTTCATTCAGGAAGTAAGGTAAGGATTTCAAGCTAATGCAAGGATAATTATTGATAAACATTTTCACGGGTCTCTCGTTGGCGGATCAACGATTCCGGATCACGTGATGGGAACAATCTTGAGCAACACGTCATCTCAAATTGTACTACTGTAGATGAGTAGGAAAGGTCTCGCTTCGACTTTATGACTACTCCATGACTGGAGTCTTGCGTCTTGATTGAAGTCTTTCTTCTATTGCAACTTGATGATGGATACATATCATTCCTCCAAGTATACTGGCTGTGTCAAGTAACCTGTCACATATAAGGTCTTACTTATGCCACGGTCACATAATAAACTTAGACAATACTACCACATGACAGTTGACAGTCGAGCGAACAACAAGACAGTGTTGCCGTCAGTCCCTCGAGATAGAGATGGACTTTAGGGGTTCGCAAGATACCTGGTAGTATTAGATAGGCGACATCAAAAGGACAAAACCAAAGACTGACAATTCAATTCCATAATTGCTCTATCAAATCAAGAAAATGGAGGGTTGGAGGGGCATATTGATTGAGCATGGAAAGTAATCTTATATTGGTCCATGGGCTGCCATTTCAACGGGCGGGTTCAGAAAGAAAGAATGGAGCATCTGTCTCTCAACAACACAACAATAAAATCTTTGCGTCCCAGCAAGATGAACATCAAAATTCATATACAATATTCTTGATCCTTTGCCGTGAACCAATCTTTCCAGATATCAATATGAGGTTCTCGTGCATCTTTGACACTTTGCACAAGGTAAGGCAGTTCCACAATTTCTCTTCGACCTGGATCATGCTATCTCACAGTGACCTCATCGACATCCACACGGAAAAACGCATGAAGATACAATTTTCAACAAAATAAATGCAACTCATCCAATCACAAATCTTAATTTTAAAACATTTGACCTCAAGGACTTGTCGTTCTATCATTTGTCCTGGGAAGAGTGTCACACGGCGCACAAATCGTTTTGCGCCACCACGCAGCTGAAGCGCGTCAAATAATTTCTAAAAGCAACAAGGTATTTTCAAGTGCAGTCAAAACTACCCTTCTGGTACTATCTTTCTTTCTCTATTCCTCCCTCTCTCTTCTGCTTGGCCTATGCTGCCATTAGGCAAGGAGGAATGGCGAGCTTTTTCACTGCAAACCCAGCCGATCCTCCAAGTCCTCGAGATGTCGTAGGCCTCTATCGTCAAATCTTCGAAAATCGCGCGTTGGAAGGAACACTTCGGCCTATGGTGGTACCATATAATCTCTACGGCTTTATACTGCTAGGAATTTATCTTTGTGTGCGGCATACGAATCGTCCAATATTATACAAGGCGCGGTGGATTGTGTTGGCTACTATAACATGGTTTCAGCTCAAAACACTATGGCACACCAGCAGCACGAATATGGCAATCAGTTTCGTGGCAGGCTTGATGAGTGTTTATGGAATTGTTACAAGTTTGACCTGGTTGTTATTTATGCGGCCACAGTTCGATGCTAAGAGGATTGAGAGAAGGAAGATTCAGGAGAACAAAATCACCACAAAGGATAACAAGCGGATAACTACAGCATATGGAGATGGTATTCAATCAGATGTAAGGCAGCGCATTAGAGTAAATGGAGGAGAGAACAAACTTTTGTTTGACTCAAAGGCACCAAACGGCAAAGCCATAGGGCCGCTTCATGGCCAGCGGGTCGCAAATGAGAGAACAAAATCTCAGTACTATTGGCAATCATACCCAGATGATATTTGGGAGAGATTAGACTGGGTATCCGACTTAATCATCAATTTTCGTGGACCTGGCTGGAGCTGGGCAATTCCCAATATACCAAAGCCTCCTCCATCAGTCTACGACAAGTTAGGAGAATCTGCAGATGAAGCATCAAAACATGATATATCTAGAACAGGAATCAAGCGCTTTAACACAAGAAGTGAACTCTTCAGGGCTCAAGTTCCCCGTTTCATTATTGGATATTTCTTACTCGACGTTGTCAAAACTATCATGATGAATGATGCATATTTTTGGCTTGGTCCCAACAATTATGCTATGCGTCCACATGTTGCAGTATTGTCTCCAATCATACGCTCTCTATATCGTGAGCTTTTATCAATGGCTGGGGTACTCATTTCTTTAGACATGGTTTTTCTTTTGGCCCCTCTTGTAGGATGTTTACTTCTCGGCCCATCCTCATTCATGGGTCTCAGGGGTGAAGCATGGTACTACCCCACCACATGGGGTTCTTTTTCGGTCATTGCAAATAAAGGCCTTGCCGGGCTGTGGGGAGGTGCTTGGCATCAAATATTCCGTCTCATATTCTCCTCACCAACAAACTATTTGATCACAAATGGATATTTAGATGCCAAGTCCTCAACTACAAAGCTCATCGGCTCGTTCTTTGCCTTTGGTGTATCTGGAATTTTGCATGCTGGCGGTAGTATATCTCAAATTCCTGAAACAAAACCATGGGATCCTCCTAAATTTTTCATGCTGCAAGCTGTTGGAATTTTTCTGCAAACTGGCTTTTGTGCCGTCTTGTCTCGATATATCAAGAATACCCCAAACCCATTGAGGCAGGCAACGAATTTAGTCTATGCCTTATTATGGGGTCTACTAACTGGATGGTTGATAGCGGATGACTTTGCTCGGGGTGGAATTTGGCTATATGAACCCATTCCCATTTCATTGCTTAGAGGTTTAGGATTTGCTGGTAAAGATCACGGGTGGTGGTGTTGGGAGCATGTAGGGCTTGGATGGTATACTGGAAAGCATTGGTGGGAGAGTGGTATTTCAATATGAGGTGGTTAGAATTTATGATTTACGAATATTGCATATTATGGCAGCATGGAGTCTGAAAATTGGAGTCAACCGTATTTGAGGAAATAAAAATCGTGCATTGGGCGAGAGACAGACGATATAGGTATAGGGGAAGCAGGATCTCCGCTGGTCGCAATCGTAGTCTAAGGACGATGGCCTTTGGCTCTCTTTGGTGCATCAATGCTCTTCGTTCTTCTCCTCGTCTTCCCAAGTCTACGGCTTTTTGAATTTCAAACGCTTTTGAACCTGCACTACAGTCCATATTCAAGAGAATTAAAGGAGGTGTGTATAGAGGGATTGGGAAATCCAAGTAACCTTAATGATATTCTTGTTCGAATCTATAGCTCTACCATGTGTATTTACTAATTGAATTCACATCATCTCTTCCTCCTCCCATCCAGCAACAGCCAACCATTTCACGCATAGTGGATTTGCGTCGATTATGAAATCATAACAAAGCAAACACAAGCCCTTCTCGAAAGCACTCCCAAAAAAAAGGATGCGAATATCTTATTATGTCATTACTTTTCATACGTCCACTCACAAGGATTAAAAAGTCAGCCCCAACCTGTCAACATTTGCCGAACAGAGAACCGCGCGAACTTTAATTAAGGCTCCCAATCCATATTCAAACTTTAAAGTCCCGGATGAAAGGGCAGGAAAGCATTCCATCAGTTAAATATACTATTCCGTCCCCACGAAAAGGCCAAGTTCCCATCCCCACAATCTGCCAAGTAGAAGCACACGCAGCATGAATTTCGTTCGCGTTTGGCTATGCATGCATGTGTGTGTGTGTATGCTTGGCCACGACAACCTCTCATATGCCTTTGTTGTCTTATCTCCCCTACATCCTCGACCATGATCAACACTAATTTAATCAAACCCCAGCATGCTTGGTAAGTGTCTTTCCCAACCCTAGTTTGTCGATAAGTAAATTGCTCACGTTCGGTACTAATCTACTTACATTCATCTAAGTCATGTCAACGTCCCGCTTTCGTATTGACTGACCGACTCTCACTAGCCAAGAAAGTACTAAGTAGCGCCCACACGATTAGATACGTGAATCCTACTCGCTTCAGAGCTGAGCATGCGATGTTTAGCTTGTGGGGTAGCGACATGTGAAGGTGGACGGGTTGTGGAGTGCCAGGTTTTAGCCCAAGGCAAACCCCGCGTTTTCGCTTCCCCAGATTGTTTCAATTCTAGATCTTGTTGGAAGATGTGGAAACCGGAGTTATAAAGTATTCCGCATCCCCCGTCGAAAGATGAGGATTATTTTTCTTCATCGTTTCATTTGGAATTGGGTTATTTTCCTTCGATTTTGATATAGAATACTACCTCATTTTGCATTATGGGACCTCAAAACATTAATGCTGAGGAGAGAACGATTGGTGTGGAGTCGAGAGATGAGAAACCTGGTGTCTTTCATGATGAGCATTCGGAGCATCTAGATAAGGGTGCTCATGCAATCGCAGAGAGAGGTAATGCAGCGACTGATAGGTTAGTAGTCTTAGATGTTTCTTGTCGCATGAAATCGTTGCTTATTCGGATTATAGCCATGGCCAGTCACTTGTTACTTTTGATCCCGTTGCGGAAAGAAAGTTGAGATTGAAGATTGATTTGATGATTGTTCCCACCGTGGCATTATTATATCTATTTTGTTTTATCGATCGAGCAAATATTGGTGAGTTAGAATACTTCTCCATTCACATCGGACGATATTAACATCGATGTTTCAGGTAATGCCAAATTAGCAGGACTCGAGAAGGATCTAAATATGGCGGGATACGACTATAACAAAGTCTTATCTATCTTTTATATTTCATATATCATCTTCGAAATTCCAGCGAATATGGCTTGCAAATGGATGGGCCCCGGATGGTTCATCCCAGGAACTTCGTTAGCGTTCGGCATTTGCTCTGTTGCCACCGCATTCGTGCACAATATTCACGCGATCTCGGGCGTTCGTTTCCTCTTAGGCATTTTTGAGGCAGGTATGCTGCCTGGTATCGCATATTATCTTTCCCGTTGGTATCGTCGATCTGAATTGGCCTTTCGTCTATCACTGTATATTGTAATGGCTCCATTAGCTGGTGCATTTGGAGGTTTACTCGCCTCGGGGATCCTGAAGCTTCCCAGCTTCGGCTCACTTCACACTTGGCGAATGCTTTTCGCCATTGAAGGTATCATTACCTGTTGTCTCTCAGTCATTGCCTTCGTCACCCTGACTGATCGCCCCGCCACCGCGAAATGGCTCACACAAGAAGAAAAAGACCTCGCGATCGCTCGTGTTAAATCCGAGAGAGTTGGAGCTACTGAAGTCTTGGATGCATTCGACACTAAAAAGGTTCTTCGTGGTATCTTCAGTCCAGTAACCATCGCTACATCCTTCATTTTCCTCCTCAACAACATCACCGTCCAAGGTCTTGCGTTCTTCGCCCCTACAATCGTGAAAACTATTTACCCCACAGCCACCGTTGTCTCTCAACAACTACACACTGTCCCGCCATACATTGTCGGTGCATTCTTCACAGTTCTTTTCCCATTTCTCAGCTGGCGCTTCGATCGACGCAACATCTTTTTGATTGCAAGCGCTCCCTTGGTGATGTGCGGCTACATCATGTTCCTTGCCAGTGACGATGGCCAAACCCGCTACGGAGCCACTTTCCTTATCGCCAGTGGAGCTTTCTCTTTTGGCGCACTCTGCAATGCTCAAGTGGCCGCGAACGTAGTCTCCGATACTGCGCGCTCCAGCGCAATTGGTACTACTGTCATGATGGGTAACATCGGTGGTCTCGTCTCCACGTGGTCGTTCTTGCCCACTGACGCGCCGAATTACCATATTGGAAATGGACTCAATCTCGCGACTGGAACGACGATATTGATTTTATCGATCGCGTTGCTCTTCTGGATGAAGATGGATAATAAGAAGAGGGAAGCGAGAGATGTGGATGCAGAGTTGGATGGGTTGAGTCAGAAACAAATTCAGGATTTGGATTGGAGACATCCGGGATTTAAATGGAAGCCTTGATTAGGGATGGATATTCCGTTGGCTTATTGTATGTTGTTTTGTATTAGCTAGAGTATCTTTGATCATACTTTAGTAGGTGATTAATTACGAATTTTATTTATGTTTTGAAATGAAATGCGAATAGTCAGGTGCTATATGGTAGAACGGCTTAATGAATATTTATACTTTCCCTCTTTATTTTCAATCCAATCATTATCCCATCAAGCATCATGCAATTCCTCATTATTATCACTGTTCTCTCCTTTACCACAGAGGCCTAAAATGACGTGCGTGGCCGTTAAGGCAAGGTATCATGAAGTCCTGGATTATGCTTTACATATCTTACTTGTCTTGCGACGGTTATTGTTTTCATTGGATCGCTTTAAGTCACACACTCGTTTAGCTTGTCTTTGTATTCTTTTCTTTCTGTCTCCAAGTTTTTATCTCGTAGACCCTCTAAAATAGGATTGTTTCGTCATCTCCGCGTGCTCTGTTCCAACATTGAATTTTGAAAATTGAGATTCGCGGTATTTACTCCTACCTGGTGATTTAGGTACGAGAGAGCAATACCTTACCATTAGCTATTCGACATCACTTGGATGGCTACTCGCATAATTCTTCGTCTATCATATCGACAGTTGGTGGCACGGAAATGTACGTGATTGATGTTAGCTTCAACACGACAGGCCTCGTCTATCTTTCTATTCTCCCATCTAGCAGTATCCCCAGGCACGATTACAAGACACGCCCTACGCCGAACTATGGCGGACTAGTATGGAAAAATTCGCAGTCACTCGATCGATCTCCGATACACAAAGAGAACTTGGAGAATTGGTTACCAATGCACCACTCCCACCGAATTTGCTCAAGTCCAAGATTGAACCTTTCCTGGTCATGCTTACAGGTACCCAAGATGAATGCGATACTGCGAGGCTTAGGCTTCATGACATTCTTGATATGCCTTGTTATGAATTTCCTGCTGGTTACCCAACGACTTATAAGATGGGGTTTTGAGAGATAGTATGTGATCGTAACAATAACTTATTTTTAGTCAAGTTACGTTAGATGTTTACAATCTATACATTTCGCGTTTTTTCGACTCCTTCTATTCTTCTTATAGAATATTATGTACATTATCTAGTATCTATCTCCTATATCGTGATAATATGACTTATAGAACAAGATCACATGTAGAATAATTGAAAAAGTATTCGAGTTTCTCATAAACTACGTTCTTATTTTAACAACAATAAATTTTAACAATTATTATTTCATCGAGAAACTAACTTATAATACACCCCATGTTCTTCTCAATCTGCTTTCTAGTATGATTTTTTGAGGTCACCGAGAGGAGGGGTGAACAAACTTGAGCGGCCCCCTGCAATTGCTACAATCAGCTCCGGTTGACACACAAAGATTATCATGAATTATATGAAGGCCGATAGGACCGATTGGACAGCATGAGCGAGAGCTGACGAAAATCAGGGAAATGATTAACTCGGTGAACTTCGAAACATTATGGGCACCACATGGCCTGTGAAGTGAAGCTAGAACAATCTCAACTTCCTCAAAAACATAATACATTGGTAAGATGCTTGGGAAGACGCTTCAACTACGTCGCCCCTCAAGGTGATAACTCTGGTCCGTTATTTTCTACATGTGCCTTTGAATCAAAGTTCACACTATTTACCTGCCTCTCCAAGATATTCAAATCAAGAATAAACATCGAATCAAGCACAAGATCGGGAGAGGCGGCTTCTTTGACGTCTACTCTAGTATACAACGATCTTCAACAACATGCAATCCACATTTCACAAGGTTATACGAGAGAGAAGAAAGAAACTGGTTGAAGTCTCGACATTATGCGCCGAGAAGGTCTACCTTGAACTTCGAGTTCCCGAAGATGCACAATCGATTCTCGAAGTCGTCTTCAGGACCATATCTCATGATCAGGGTATGTGACTCCATACTGACCATGATTCAACCCGCTGAGTCCTTTAGGTTATAGCGGTGAGCCTCAGTACCATGGGACATACAAAAACTCTTTCACGTGGTTTGTCGCCTCTGTCGCTACTCCTGGCGGCCAAGAACGAGTACCCAGGAAAGTCCTATATCACAATATGCACGCCGATGAAACTTTTAGAATCCATGAGTTGTGTTGGAGAGCAGACGATCAAGATCAAATTATTACAGAGTGGATCAACGCTATTCAAAGAGGAGACACAATTCAAATTATCCCAGTCGCACAATATCCAGCCTGGATCAACTTTGTTCAAGAGGCAGAGATTGAGATTCATTACATCTTGGCCCCCCAAAATGCTTCAACTTTCGGTCTTCCAACTTTAGTTTCAGATACTGCAGGGCAGGACCTCTACCGAAGTCTCGAAATAAAACTTCGCGAAGTGCGGCTCGTACACTTGAACCCCGGCTTGTTCGAAGATCCGATATCATGTTCAATAACATATATGTCCCTGAAAGAATGCACAGAATCGGCCTACGAGGCTCTATCTTATTGCTGGGGAGATCATAGGCAGAGAAAAGACATCAAAGTTACTGTTACTGATCTGAAAGGCCACTCAGAATACATCATGTCGATCACCCTATCTCTGTACTCGGCACTGCAGAGACTTCGGCCACAAAATGGGCTCGCCAGGGTACTTTGGGCTGATTCAATTTGCATCAACCAAGATGACCTCGCTGAGAGATCTTCTCAAGTCTCTTTGATGCGTGATATCTATCGCAAGGCACAAGGGGTCGTCGTTTGGCTGGGACATGGTACAGAGCCCATGCATAAATCCATTATGACCTTGACTACTATTGAAAATCGTTACAAGCCGAACGAGTCCATGGATCTGCCAGCATCCGAATTACCTTATCTCCACGACCCGTTGATGGAAAATGTTAACGGCGAAAAGCATTCTGGCATGTACAACTTTGTTGATGAATGGACATTATACGAATCGCCATGGTTCAGTCGCACCTGGGTCGTCCAAGAAGTTTTCAATGCACGAGAAACAACCTTTTATTGTGGGGACAATACACTCAATCTGGCAATGATGATGCGAGTCAATAAATGCATCTCATCACTTAAGGATCTAAAATTGAACTCTTCTCATAAGGCTATAATGCCTTCAATATATGACGATCTCTTCCATGCTAGATTTGCGACTGGTAGCTCACAGTCTATGCAGAATGGAATTCTCGAAGTCCTCATCAAAGGACTTGATCTAGATGCTACAGACCCTCGCGACAAGATCTTCGCAATGCTACAATTTGGAAAAGAGACCCAGAATCTAGAATTGCTGCCGCTTGAGCTTGTGCCTGATTACCGCAGGTCTGTTTCGGAAGTTTTTTCAAGTTTTACAAAATGGTGGATTGTGAAGCATGAGTCTCTGAGAATTCTTTCTGCCATTCATGCATTGGATGGGAGAGCATGGCAAACAAACAAGTGGGAGACAACTCATAAATACGATGCAGATCAGCCGACGTGGTCTTGGTGGTTCCGTGGACAGAGCAATTGGGTTGTTGGAATCCTCGGCCTCAAAACAGATAACTCGTACCGCGCCTCTGCAGACACCAAACCGAATATTTCTTTGATCTCTGGAAGTAAACAGACATCAATTCTCACTTTGGCTGGGTTCAAGATCGATTTCATCGAAAGTTTAATCCCTTATCCATATTTCAGCCCACCGAAAAATCTTGAGAGCCTTCACCGGGCATACGTTGGTATATTTGACCCCCTGAATCTTATCGGGAAGTGGCAACACCAACTGGCGCCAGGAAACATGAGCACCTACGTATTTTTGGACGATACTGCGAGGATAAAGGCTCACTATGCTGCACATCAGGATTTTTCAGTCAAGAATAATGCGGTAGAGTGTAACGACCCCTCTTTCTTCAGCACTCCTGGAGGCTTGGTTGGACTTTGCCCATCTTCGGCTCGAGTTGGTGATATAATTGTCGTTCTCCATGGAGGTCCAGTTCCTTACGTCCTTCGAGAGTTGCTAGGTCCACATTGTACTATTCATCAATCCGCCAAAAGGTACGAATTTATTGGGGAATGCTACCTGGAATCATATATGGATGGTCGTGGTGTTCAAGATAATGAAGGAGTAGAACCTGAAATATTTTCTTTAATCTAATTGTTTTATAAAATACCGGTAGTTGAATGACTAGTATGAGTTATTATATAACTTATACCAAGAATAAGCGAAATGAATTGCCCTGCCTGGTGGGATAAATGGGTGACTAATCAAGGCTTAAGGCCGAATCCTTACTATACCTATAGCAGAAATATAATTAAGCATTCTGTTCTGATTTCCGTATTTTACTTTTATAATAGATTCTCTTTGAAAATAATACTGAATCTTTTGATTTATAATATCGATGGTTAGTATCAATATCATCTTAATAATTATAATGTCTTTATAATAATTAGATATAATATATTAATTGATATTGTATCTAATCTATTCTAGATTCAAAGCCATAAAAGCTATATACAATACATTCGTATGCTAACGAACTAATTCATTCACGTACGCATATTCACTCATATCGCTACAATTATTTATATCTACAATATTAATGTTGGTACCCTGTGCTGGTACAGGCCCACAGCCTGGCTTTTGCCATGGTTTGGGTTGTAGCTCGATATTTAGCGCTGCAATACTGAAGCTTGGAAGTCGCAACAGAGGCACCCCCCGCATCTGCTGAGATCCATCTTATATCAAACATATAAACATTCATACAAAGCCAGTAGTTTCGGAAGATATATACTCAATTTGAATCACAAGAGAATCAGCTCCAAATGGCATATAGAGCATTCATATACAACCCCCATCATTCAATTTTCTAGATACAACTGACTAACTACTAAACACAAAATACCTCCGTCATTACATAAATGAAATGAATATACAGATTCATATTCCTTTCAACTATTATTCATTTCTTTTCCTTCTTCCATCCATCCATCCGTCTTTCTGTTTACCATTGACTTTTCCGATACTCTGTCTTGCTAACACCAGATAGCTGCTCGAAATCGCGCAGAAGAAAGGAAAAGATAAGTGAAATAATCAATCTAGTAAAGAATAAAAAACTCCATGTTAATGCCGGCTTCCCCAAAAAAGAGATTGCTCTCGGAATATTCGTTGAAAGAAGAGATGAGGAAGATATGGAAAACAAGACAATCAGCTAATCTAAACGAAAGAGAGGAGAAAAGAAAGAAGCATTGAAGAATAAGTCTCCAAACAATAAAGTAAATCTCGCCCGAACTCCGCTATTCACAGAAGGTATTCATAAAAGTCATCATCAAATCAAAATGTGGTATCAAACCCCGCCCATCCATCCATCCATCCATCAATCCATCAAACAAGTCATCAAGTCATAATCCACCAAGCCAAGCCCTAAATCATATTCCCATTAACATTAACCTCATACCCCTCACTCTTCTGTTTCAACGCCTTAGCCAACATCAACTCTCTCATCCAATCAATCCTCTCATCTCTACTCCTCACCGCAAAATAATGCGTTTTATTATTCGCTCCTGCATTCCCCATGCCACTCGGCATCAAGCTATCTCTCTTTTTCAACTTCACACCCTTTTCAATCGCCTGCGGGATTAATTGAAAAGCAAATACGTCAACTTTCTTATCTCGATCATTTCCACGTCCCATCGCAATATTCACTCGTTTAAATGCTGCGTTGAGTTTAGAAGAGGACGCTAAAGATGAACAAGCAATGGCGTAATCGTCGACATCGATGTATTCTAAAACATCGAGCGCACGAGCATCTTTGTGCATAGCAAGCGTGGTGCCGCGGAGTGTAAAGTGGTGTTCGTGCCATTCATGACGAAGCATCTTGGTGCGGCGCTTTTTCATCCAGCCAGCATAGGAAGGTGTGTCTTTCTCTGGGGAGGAGGTGTTAGAGGAAGATGTAGAGGAGGAATGGGGTGGAAGGGGTATTGATGTAGTGCTGTGAGTTGGATTGGGATTTGGACCGCCGAACTGAGCCCACGGATCGGTTGTAGAGTAGGCACGGATAGAGGTTGCGATACCCACTGGGTGCGTAGGATCTCTGATAGTGTTTGTACTTTCAGGAAATGTGTGGGCTGGTTCATTGGAAAGAATCTGGACTTGGGCTGGCTGGGTTGATTGAGTGGCTCGATACTCATCAACTCGGGGAAGAAGAGAGGGACGACGATTAGAGACACGAGAAAGACTGCGTTGAAGAGAGTTGGCCATCGAGTTGTTGGTAGATGTGTTGGTGATTGGACGGTAGGTCATATTGGGTGGAACGGACTGAGAAGCCTCTCTTGCGACAGGACTCATAGGTACAGCGGTAACCGGCACATCCATCTCGGAAAAGGGAGTACCAAATCGATAGACCGAAGGAGAGCGGGTTTCGTTGCGGAGCTCTGGAGAGAGAGCTTCTGCGCGATCCATGTGATAAGGTGAAAATGCAATAGCGCTGTTTGGAACGGCGGTTGCACTGCAAGGACCGTATCCATTGGCACTCTGGGATCTGATGGGTTGTTCAGGACGAGGTGGAGGAATAGAAAGTTTAGGCAGCCCCCTGAGACCTGCGATAGGTCCTTTTAGTGGCGGAAACATTTCGTATGGAGGGGTTGGAGGCTGTTCGGATGATTGGTTCGGTGCGAGATGCTGGAATCTGATAAATTGCTTCACATTATCTTGAGGATCACGTAACCCAACATTTCTTAGGCTCTCCTCTTCTAAATAACGAAGAGCAGGAGTAGATCCAGGACCAAGAACATCCGAGGATGCCACAACCGAAGGTACTGCATCGGAGATTGGACGAGCTGTAAGAGCATTTCCTGGATCTCCAGCGATAAGTAGCGAGCCACCTTCTATTTTAGCCATTAGTACCAAACTCAAAAATTCTGTCGCAAATCGAAAACATACCTTCGGGACTGATCGGATGATCCTTATTGAAAGCAGCGATCAACCGTTGTTGTTTCCTCCACTTCGAACAATTTTCTCCCTTTGAGCACTTATGTGGTTTCGGCATAAGTTGTTCGATACCCACAATTGAAATAGATTCTAACGGCAAAACAGTTTCGTGTTTATTTGCTCTTTTTGAAGCCTTGCGCCTTCGAGATTGACCTCTCTCTTGACCGTTCGAACAATTCTCTTGTCTACCTCTTTCCGATCTATCTCTGATCAAACGGAATTCCGTGGCTGGAGAAGTTTCTTCGATGGGGGTAATTGGCTTAGGCGTACTTGGTGCACTTCCTCGCAAGATGTGAATCTCGTTCCAAACTTTTGTTCGTTGTCCAAATGATGAGATGCCCAATTCCCGGAGATCCTCGAATTTAAGAGTAGTCAGAATCGCACCCGAGATGTCATTCTCTTCGAATTTCTCAACAATCGACCATTCGAAACCTGCATCGTGCATCCATCTTGCGACTTGGCGTGGCGTCCAGTGAGTGATGTCATTCAGGTTCAGATCCGCGATATTTTCGGTCAATAGAGATAATCGCTGGCGTCTTGTAGGACTATCTGGTGAGACTGGAGTAGACGGGCTGATTTGGTGTCGCGGTGTGAGTATCGATGGCTGTGGACTTATTGGTGACATTTCCAAAACATATTGATCCGGGATATCCAGCGACGAGGAAACAGAGCTGCGAAATAAATGTGGTCCCCGAGGTCCTTCGACCGGCTTTTTCGGACCCAAGTCGAAATTGAAGGATTGAAATTCATTTGAGGCCGATGTGGGTGTAAATACTTCTTCGTAGGAGGATAATGTAGTTTCACTCGCTCGACCTCCCTGAATAGTGACACGTCAGTACGAGAGATAAAAAGAGTAAAACGTTGTACATACTGATCTATAACTCAGGCGTGGGTAGTCCAAGTCTTCCTCGAAATCCGATCCATATGCGGCCTCTTCTGCATATTGTGGAGTATCTTGGTGATCTTCGAATTCCTCAACATCACTTACATCATCCTCGAAGTCAGTATCGAATACAGTTGCGGATGACAAAGGCCGCTCAGGACGATGCTGTGTTTCTTTGAAACCGAGAAGAGTATCCCGGGTTTGATATGCGAAACCTCTTTGGTACATGTCCAGCCGAGTGTCGATGGCTGTTAAAGGGGTTGTAGCCTACATTCATCGTAGGATTAGTATGATACTTCAATATACATAGGCATATTACTGGCATAGCCTCATCAACTTACCATACTGCCTAGTACAAAGGCGGGAATAACAATTGATAACTCGGGCGGTACAAGAATACTTGCAAGACTGCTTGCTTGCCCGTCGCCGGGGGTATCTTCTATGAGCCGAAACAAGTCCAGATGAAATCTTGTGAACCACGATAACGATAAAGCAAATTTGCAGCAAAAATCAAATGCAATCTGAAATGAATGAATCGTAAAATTTCAAAAGGATCAGAAGGAGGAATCGGGGTTAAAGTCAACGGCGTCTAGGACAGTATATGTATCGCCATTTTTGAAACGAAACGATATATCATGGGCCTCAAGTATATCAGAGCTCACCAATGGGCAGTATAACGTCCCGGCATATTTTCTACAATGTGAACTGTGCTCAGCATTCCTGCATGAAAATTGTGACTATTCTTGAGAAATAATGCCACACAATGCCACAAGGCCCTCGTTTGTTTCCCTCGAGCCATTGAGACGATCGGGTTGCGAGCCTTGCGACCCTACATCGCAGGAAACTTAGACCCAATGAGGAGATTATGCTAGGGTAAGCATGCAGAATACTCACATCCACGCATCTTTCACGCAGGACAAATAAGGTGAAAAATAGAAGACGTTCCAATAATATTCAAGCTTGGTCAGATGGATCCTGCAGAAAAAATCCATGATTGGTTGTGAATGGTCGGATAGTTCTGCATCTACGCGCCGAGTCACATCTTTCTTCGTTTATCCTGGCTAACGCACATAATTCGTCAATTGAATCGTTTGATTCGTCCATTGAAGGATGATTTGCCTACTCTGTATGATTGCTCATGATTTGACCGAGGATGCCCAGAGAAAATCTGCAAATCCAGACCCTTTGTTTTTTTTCATATCATCCCGCCTTTTTCATCGGGCTATCGGGCACCGGCTTGTGTACCTAAGTATCTAGTCCCGAGACTAGAAGAAAATCATTTTAGTCTATGAGGCCAATAAGCAATTGAGAATGCCTTCTATTATCAATATGTTGAGCATCAAAACTACCTATGTTGAGTGAGAACTATATTTAAGTGGGAAATTCTCCAGTCTCGTTTAGACTTCTACGGTGCGGTCCGTTGATGAAGGGGTAATTACTCTAAGCAAAATGAAATTTCAAGGTTGAAGCTTGTTGGAATACTTCAAAAATGTTGTAAAATAATTGGAACCGCTGGTCTAAGATGTTACAAGCATGAACACTCACATCAGCAACGGAACTGCAAGAAATTTGTACGTACGGATTATCGGCATTGTTGGAAGTTGTTGGTTGTACGTGATGATAAGGAATAGTTCTAAGGATTATCGCCATGGCTATCGCTATCGTCTTCAAGATAATCGTATTGCCGTCAACATCGAGAATGGGGGCGGCTGTTTGGAAACTTTGAAAACTGGAGAAACCAAGTCCTTCTTTCTTTCTTTCTTCCCATCCTCTCCTCCCCACACTTCCCGAGACCCTGACTAACAATGGGAATTTACATGCGGATCAGAAAGATCCTATCAGGCATCTATTCACTTGTGGAGGCAGAGAGAGAACTCTAAAGTAGAAACCTACTTTCACGACTACTAACTTGTACGATACCGAGCCCGAGCCCGCTACAACGTCAGGAAGAGTAGACAGAACTATCGATGTAAGACCCTAAAAAGAGGGTATTCCGATGTCCTGCCGCTGCCGGCTTTTCATTCCTGCAAGTACCTATGTATCTAGTTCCATATGTGATGCAATATAGAAATAATCAGCGTCGGCACATGAATATTACATGCAAGCAAGAGAGGAGAAAAGCAGGACTGTGCTGTGCCGTGCCTGTACTTTCCCGTCGCATGCGTTTATCCAAACCAATTCAAGTCCGGAATGAAGAGATAACAATTAGAATCAATCCTTCCGATGATTCCCCTTTGTTGGATAAATTGTTTCCGTGCTGTAAGATTCGTCACGTCTGTACGATGCCCTTGTCCTCGGATATTGTTTTCCTGTTAAACATCCCTCCTGGATTGGCCGGTCATGATTGTTTGTCACAAATTATCTTAGAACGGACTTCGCACATAGTCCAGTCGATTCGACTATCGCTGTCGCAGATTTGGAGGATTCAATTTGCCCCTCATTCGATTCTGTCAATTGTTCAGCATACTCAATACAAGCCCCACGTATCACGAGTACGCGTGCAAGTCATTGACATACATTGATTGATTGATCCATTAGCAAATTGTCTCAGGCCTCACCGTCTCCATCATCTGCGCAAAATGGTGCATTGTCATGCGATGTACTAATCAGTAAGGTAGCGGAAATGCATGGCATTGTAAGTACAAAAGAAAAGAACATATGTATGGAAGTGGATTAAATGTAAACATTTTGAAAGCACACATGATGTAGGTTACATTTGTGGAGTTTGAAGTATCGAATTTTATCTGCAATGGAAAAATCGATTTTTTCTCTCTCAGCAAATCAAACGTTAAATTTGGCATGTGTATGTCGAGATCCTAGCCGAATAAACATAGATGCATCAATGGCCTCTCTACCTAAGTGAGTTTATATTTTCTCCCAACCAATTGCAAACGAAAAGAGCACTCACACCACCCTCACATGACTGTTTCTTCATGCGGGTCTCCAAAACAATGTGTTCAATCAGATAGGTCACTTCAAGAAGGACCGAAGGTTACATACGGAAGTTTTGGTGGCCAGTACAACATATAATACGCTCCACCACGGTGAAAGTCGAATACATGAGAAAGCGAATAGAATCATGAAAGATAGATATTGAATTCGTGACTGGCTAGCTGGCCACAATTAGATGATTCTCGGGTAATTGCGCAGTATTCGAAGTCGAATCGCGTACCAAGAACCAAGAATTTTGGTGATGCAGATGTTTTCTTTGGAAAACATGACATTGGGAATGGAGCATCAAAGCTGTTAATCGTTACGATATACACAAGTGTGCTGTACTTACTAAGTATGTACTCTCACACCTCCGCTCGTACGAAAAGAAACAAGCTGGATTATCTAAGTACTATCCGCTTCATTTGAAGATCGTGAATTCAGATCACCAGATCCATCATGCACTTTTACTTTTGTTCTCCACATCAATTAATATGGAGATGTGAAGTTGAGCATGCTCGTGCATATCTAGTATATCCATAAATAATCTCCATATCTTAAAATTTCTCTTAAACGGTAACCTGGAATTGCGGAACGCTTTTAGTGCAGTGTTCGAAATGGGTAAAGTTTTTACGAGCTGTCAGATGAAAGTTTAATTTCCTAGATATTAGCTTTGGAGCATTGTCTCCCCCATTCTTATCAGAGAATGACGACGATGATAAAGTTTGCAGGAATTATTTTTGTCTCGGAAAATAACCAAACTTTCCAACAAGGCAGACAGACATATGGTCAGCCACTATGATGATATTAAAGATACGATATATAAAACTTTTTCACAAAAGGGAAGGATTATTAAACTCATCCAAACCTGGTAAAACACGAGGGACGAGAACGTCAGCGTGCCTGTCAATATCAGACTATACTGGCTGGAGTGACTGAAGGAATCTCCTATACCCACTCTCGCTGTTAACACTCCGGTACTCCACGAAGCTTCAGCGACCTTCAGTAATGTCAGCGTGCCTACCGTTCTCAGGCAATACTGGGATGGGTGGAAGGAACCTCCTTACCCGCTCTTGTTGGAAGCAATCCTACATTCTTAGAAGCTCCAAATTCAGCCTCAGTAATGTCAGCGTACCTACCGTTGTTGGAAGATACTAACAGATACTAACATCGGAAACGGCATCTCTATCCACTCCTGATGCCAGTCCCCCGGAGCCTGCTGGGGCTTCAATTTCAGCCTCAGCAATCCTTTGTCTACTCGATGCTTGTAGTTCCTACACCATAACTGAATCGAGCGGTTTACGAAAGTCTTGAAGAGATGCGGGCAAATATCCTGGTTGCATCCTCAACGCACATCACATCATCCTGCATGCAGTTTCATTGAGTGAGGATTCTAGAGCCAAGTGGTATATTTCACATTGTGAAGATATCGGCGACCACTGTCCTCGTACAGGTCCAAGCTTCATGTGTTATCAAGTGAAACGAAATTGCGATCTTGTCAACCTCACAAATATTGTAGATGATGATGTTATTTTAAGATTGGATTGCTTGGGAAGATAGGAGGCGAAGGCTTTTGTTGCCTCGATATCCTTCTCTAACCGGAACCGAGCTTCTTCATCCATTCCAGATCGTTAAGGAATAGGGAGAAGGCGCAAAAATGGGGAAAAGCTGCGAGTGTAAAGGGATGTGCACATAAACGTTCGAGGGAGAACGTGCGTACCTTGGACAATTTGTAGAAATGAAGGAAGGTTTAACTTAAACTTCTCATTTTGATGATTTTTGTATCACTTCAGCCTTTCTAGGCTTGGTGTTGTTGTACGTATGGGGACGGTGATGATTAGCATATTCTTAGTCACGACTCAAGCCACATGGCTCGATGATTGTGAAGTTTTGTGTGGGGGTGAACGGAGCCTCGCTGGTCCACGAAATTCCGGGGATCAAAAAGGGTAATGCAGACGAGTGCGAGAGACTATTGAAAATGTTGATTAATTAGTGACAATTTCTGCAAGACCAACACATGTGAAATGTCCAAAAATAACACTACATTGAGAGCGGGATATGTTGCTAATTAAGGATGAATGTGACGAAATATGATAGGGATACAGCAAAAAGACCAACTGATGATCAAGTGATAGGTTGAAAAATGATACATAATTATTGACAATAAGCGCTTAATTTATACCATTAATAGGATTTTGGTGTGATGGAAAAAGGATTGTATTGGATGTGATGAATAGATGAATGTGAGAAGCTTGGATCATTATGTGACATTTCACAACTACCTGGTAGCTTTTCAGTATCTGCTAGGATTTGTTCCTAGGTAGTCTCTTCCCTGGTCATACTGCCGAAGAAAATCGTATGTATGAGTCTGGCACAGATGCATCATTGATCTTTTTGACAGAAAAGGAGAAAA